ATTATTTATGTCATTGTCGATGTCGGATATAAGAATGAGAAACAAATGTCGGGGTGTGTACTGTGCCTTGAGGAATAAAGCATGTCACTGTAGCAGTCTCTAGCTTCACTCCGTTTACCATTACTCCTTTGATATACCTTTGATGTTTCGAGAGTCGCTCTACTCTCGGAGCCCGGCCATGGGCCAGACTCGTCTGGTGCTTGTCTGGTCAACCAGGCTGTTGCTGCTGGAGATCCGCTGCCCCACATATCCATCACAGCCTGGTTGATCTGGCACTTGGTGAAGATAATTGTCCGGATTCCTCTTGAAGGCTTCTACACTTGTTCCAGCCGTGTTTCTGTTGTTCCAGCCGTGTTTCTGATATCTTCTGGTAAGATGTTGAATAGTCTGGGGCCACGAATGTTGATACAGGGTTCCCTTATTGTGTCCACCGCACCCCTGCTCCTCACTGGGTTTATTTTACATTTCTTCCCATATCTCTCACTCCAGTATGTTGTTATGGCAGTGTGCAGATTTGGGACCAGGACCTCGAGTACTTTCCAGGTATATACGTATTATCATGTATCTCTCTCTCCTCCGCTCCAGTGAGTACATGTTCAAGACTTGAAGGCGTTCCCAGCAATTTAGGTGCTTTACTGGCTCAGTGTGTGCCGTAAATGATCTCTGTATTTGTTCCAGCTCTGACATTTCTCCTGCCTTGAACGGGGCCGTCAGCACTGAGCAATACTGAAAATGAAGGAGCACTTACGATTTGAAGGGTGTCACCATTGGCATTATTTCCATTGTTATGAAAGTTCTCAATACCCACCCCGTCATCTTCCTGGCTGTCGTGATCTTTGTCTTATTATGTTCCTTCTGAGTTCTTCATTCTTTCCATGCCTATGCAGCTGGAGCTTATCACCAATGAACGTCCAGTTGTTCTTCACTGCCCACTGGAAAACCCTGCTTATGTCTTCCTGCAATTTTTTCGTGTCTTCTACAGTAGTGACTTTCATGCTTATTATAGTGTCATCTGCAAATGATGATACGAAAGTGTAAAGGGTGTTTTTATCTATGCTATGAGGATGAGAAACAGCAGAGGTGCCAGGACAGAGTCTTGGGGAACTGAGTTTTTACCTCGCTGATGCTGGATCTTGCTCTGTTCACTACTACTTTTTGTGCTGTTAGGAACTCGAAAATCCATCTGCCTACCTTCCCCATAAGGCCTATGGCCCTCATTGTGTGCGTTATCGCATTTGTCAAACGCCTTTGCAAAATCAGTGTAAATCACATCTGCGTTTTGGTCGTCTTCCAAAGCCTCCCTAACTCTGTCATATTGGTTCAGCAGCTGTGACTCCCTGGGTTCTATCTCTTAAGTTAAATATCCATCTGCCCACTTTATCAGTTATCCATTTTTCACTCATTTTGCACGTTATCACACTATGGTCGCAGTTGCCGAAGGCTTTTGCTAAATCATTGTCCTAAACTGACCATTTACTGGGGGGCCCCTCAGCATAGTGGTGGGATAGGGAGGGTAGGAGGTCCTATCATCCTGTTACCAAACACGAGCCAGTATGAGGGCGCAGCACCAAAATAAGTGCCAAACAAGTGGAGGAAGAGAATAGGGAAGGAGAGAGACTGGTGAGGGAGGGAGGGGTGTAGTGGGGAAGGGAGTCACGACTTGCCCCGCCTAACTTGCAGTAACAACATGGTTCACAACCACGACCACTACCCCACCACACTCTCGCCCACCTCCTATCAGCCACTACCCACTGTTCTCCAACTCTCCCCACCACGTAAACTGGCGGCAAACTTGCTGCATGCGACAGCTACCTCATGTTTATCACTGGAAGTAAGAATAACCTACTTCCACATGTGATACCACCTACGACTGCTTCACCTCACCTGCCTACAGTATATAAGCAACTTCTTCGTGCATATGCTGTATTCTTTTCAAGATTGATGGATTGATTACATAGACGCCAGGCCGAAGGACTGATTACCTCAAACTCCTCCTGTTCTTCACCATTCTCCTTTGTATGGACTGATGAAGCCACTGTATGGCGAAACGTTTCCTCAATAAAGATAAAAGTGTTTCACATGTGTGTAATTTATCAACTTATCATTGATGCAAAACTTCCATTAGGTCAATACATCAACCGTTTACTGTTTGTAATGGGAAACTCATCGCCGCAAATTCTGTCAATTTCTGACCAACAGTTTTCAGAAAATTTCTAGATTTACGTTACTGACGTTAATTTTGGCTTCGTTAGTTTGCCGTCTACCCATAAAAATTACATTATTGTAACATGTCACAAAGCCAATAAATGAAATATAAGATAAAGGTCATAAAATGTTTTGAAATGCGAACAGAAAACAGGAACCCACCCAGTGCACTAGAAAATAAAGTCAGATAATCACTGTTTATTTAAGGCTCTTGAACAATTAACCTGTTGGACTATCTTATCAACAGTAAAATACTGCCTGTTATTAAGAGGTTGGGCTGATATGATTAACCAGTAGCTCAGTGATACAGCATTCCCCTTACAACAAAAAGGACCTGGGTCGAGGTCTTACACATACAGGGTGTGCACAATATCTTGTTACTCATGCAGTTTAAATTAATTTTGTTTTCATGTTAGGCGAATGTGCCCATAAATGTTACGAACAATTACAACAGTGAACAACTGATTGTTGCCAGTGTTTGAATCCACGAACGTTCACGAAGATAATGAAAGTGGTGCACCTTGATTTCCAGAAACAATTCCGCCAAGAAGTCTCAAAGTAAGATTTCTGCACTGGCACCATACACTGTATGGTTTTTCCTTACATCAAGGAATAAGACATTGATAAGGCCATGTTCTAAGATAAAATAGGTACTTAGGTGTTAGCCGGATGCTGTGGCTCGCATTCTAGGGGACTGGGAGGATTTCAGTGAAATTATATATTACACTGTGTGTAGTTGTTGAATAATAGTAGGCTTAAAATAATGTATACAAACAGCCAATATAATTCTTAACATCAACTGCTAGATGATATATCGATCCACATCATTCACAAAACATTATATCTTCTCAAATAATCTATTTCTTCTCTAACTAAATCTCTTCATTAAGTATTTGTATCAAGTACATGATGCAAATATAAATTAATTACAAAACCTGAACTTGAAATTCTTTAATATCTTAAATTTAAAACCCAAATATATTCTCAAAGAATAATCCTGCGCATGAACATTAAGACAGCATAAAACAAATTTACTCAATTTCACCCATTGAATCATCTCCATGACCCTTGACTTCTAAAGCGACCAATCACATTCCACGTCAACATAAGCACGCAACAAGACTGGTTTATTCTGTGTACGGGATTACCCACCCAAACAACTCCCGACCAAAAACAAGTGCAAGTGAATACAATGTGGCGTCTGATTGGACCACTGGTAGCATGGACGCCAGGAAGGTGGATGGTAATTGCTGAGGCCTGAGGTGGGTGTGTGGAGGATGTGGCAGGGAGGCTGGGAAGGGTTAGTACGTAATAACGCATACTTCAATGCATTGTAAATTTCACTATATTGGATAATACACGCTAATGTAGATCATTCAGCTCGGGTAAGGACTGGTAGATGTTCAATCCTCTGTTTGCATCTCGAGACAGATCATAATGCAGTTAAATTTTATATCAGCGTTGGAGATTTAAGCCAGACAGAAAAGGCCTTTACAAATTATAGCATAGAAACTAATATCCCAATTTCTTCAATACAAATGGCCAACTGGAGCCTAACATTCCAGAACTAATTAGAGCCTTCATTAACTTGAGGACGTTTATCATTGTAAACCAATTAACATTCAGTTCACGTGACTTTACCAATTAATTTTTCCTGTGACTTTTAACATGCCTTTGAACATTCATCTTTTCTTTTCCATTCCAGAATGTACATTCCAAGTACTGAAGACATTCCCAGGGGCTTAGTTGAAATACTGACTATGCAGGAAGTAAATGATTTCTATACATTTTCCGGTTCTGATATCTCTCTGGAGAAGAGCTGTGAACACAACTATATTCCACACGTGAGAGAACAACTTGAATAGTATCATCACCAGCGTGATTTCTCTTGTTCTGGAGGTTCTTATTATCCACCCTACACTTTTTATGGCTTCTGCTGCATTTGCCTTATTGTGTTCCATAAATGATAAGTCATCCGACATTATTATTCCCGAGCCTTTTACATGTTCCTTCTCCTCTGTGAGATAGTTCTCCTATATGCTGTATTCTGCGCTCATTTGAGTTCTTTCATTCTTTCCTTTTCTAGGCAGTTGGAACTTGTCACTATTGAACATTATTTTCCTCTGCCAATTAGAAGTCTTTAGTAGTCCGGATCAACCAGGCTGTGATGGATATGTGGGTCAGCGAACAGGCAACAGCCTGATTGACCAGGAAAGCACCAGATGAGCCAGGCCGGGCTCCGGGAGTAGAAAAACTCTTGGAACTCATCAAAGGTATATCAAAAGGTAGTATCCGTTTGTAATTCTTCAGTCTTTTCTATTGACGTAACGTTAATGCTTATTTTGGTATCATCCGCAAGGCATGACACCAAGTTATAGCTTCGTTACAGCCTAATTAAATGCTAAATAAAATGAAAAAAAAGTCGTTTAACCAATACTGAGAGGCTCCTTGTACACCAACACAAATTGTACAAGTATTTTTTATGTTATAGTAAAGAAAATTTAACAAGAATTCCTTAATTATCTTAGTCTGCTTTACAACATCCCCCGCAAGAAGACTCTGATGAGTTCCGGAGCCCGGCCATGGACCAGGCAACACCCCAGCAGATTTTAATTAAAAATACAAACTTAAACACAATGTATGCCTTTCTCACAGAGTATAACATGGTTTAGTCGACTCTGTCAGCTCAACTCGCAAATACTTTGTTTTAAAAACGGCAGAAGAAAACACACGTGAGAGTAATGTTGATGGGTTGATGAGTGGTGATGAGGAGACATTATGGGATAGTTACTCACCTGGCATACACACACAGCGGAAGGCGCCGCGTTCGTCCAGGCAGGTGCCTTGGTTATGACATGGGTTACTCTCACACTCGTTGATGTTGATCTCACAACGAGGACCAGTGAAGCCTTTGGAGCAGTCACACCTGCCAGCACATTAAGTCTCGCAATTAAATTGGTTCAGTGTATACTACTTATTTAAGTTAAGAAACTCCATAACTTCAAGATCAAGAGAGGATAAGTAAAGGCACGACTAACCTGAAAGATCCTGGTGTGTTGACACAGGTACCATTATGCTCGCAAGGAAGGCCCTCTTGACACTCGTCGATGTCCTGGGTACAGTCGACGCCCTTGTAACCAGGCGGACAAGTGCAGATGTAACCACCGTCGATGGGTGACGTGTCACACATAGAGCCAGGATGGCAAGGGTTGCTGGCACAGGCGTCGTCCAAGTGACACAGCAGACCAGTCTGCATCAAGATTCAATGATAAGTCAATACATCAACACAATCTCACTAACACTACATGAAGACAATCTCAGTGATACGTTTCACTGATTCACACTATCAGCAATATCGTCCTATATGGGTGTGACACAATGAATGACAAACATTTACTCTACAAACAGGATATCACCAATAATCTCTTTACAAGTGATGTTAAAGTACCTGACAACATGCAACCTAATCTGAAAACAAATGTCTGGCGTACAAACGGAGGCACTGTATCCATCACATAAGTGCTCATAAACATCAAAACCATTGTAACAGATTATGTATTATTAAACTGTTAAGTTATTCTTGGAGACTTTCTGATATTTATTTTCATAGTAATTTACTCGGATAATTCTGTTCACGGTGATTTAATAAGATAATTATATTCATTGGGATAATCTAGTGTTCGTCTCCATATGAATGTTATTTAATAAAGTGTCTGGAAAAGCTATCTGTAAAAAGGGTTTGTTGGAATTTCCCTATATCCCTAAGTGTTTCACCTAAATAGTACAGTTATATGATATATTTTATAGAAGAGATTATAATAATAGTAGAATGCCAACCAAATATAAGAAACTGAATATTGTTAAGTGCTGACTAGGCCGCCACCAGAAGACCTGGTGTGAAACCGGGTCACTGGAACGATGATCTAGAGAACTATAAGAAGCAAGCAAGGTGAGTGAGGAGTGTGGGTGGGTACGCACCTTGCCTGGTGTACACTGACACAGGAAGGAGCCCACTCGATCTATGCAGGTGGCGCCATTGAAGCATGCCGCTCCCGTGCAATCGTCGATGTTCTCAGAGCAGTCATCTCCCGTCCATCCGTTGACACAGATGCAGGAGAAGCCGCCCTGGGTGTTGGTACACGTCGCACCGTTCTGAAACAGTGCAAAGTTAATATTAACCCAGCTCACGTCAAATATATTTATAAATAATATATATCTGTGTATAGATTAAAAACTTTGTATCAGAACTGCTCTCAGCTTTTCGTATTATATTTTGCCTCAGTGAGTGAATTTTTCAGGTACTGAGATCATGTAAACACAGTCTCCAGCACACACCTAAAATCTGGCAAATACTGTGTGTCTTGTATATTCACCATTCTCCGCCACAAAACTGTGAGACTCACTATCTGATGTAACACCTGAGTGGAAAATATTGTTGCTGTATATTGATCACACACACTATTTTCTGCCATACTGTTCCTTCAAAGGGCGTTCTTGCTGCTGGCGAAGAGTTCTTGATTCAAAGAACTGGAGTTACCCTTTCCCTTTCTGGATCAAACTGGATGACCCCCATATTTCCCAAGCACTGTATGACTTATGGGTTAAGAGTTAATTACATGCTAGACTACTGGTCCGTACAAGAGTATTCTCCCTCAACCTGGCACTAAGACCTACATACACTAGAGTCACACTCATTATGTAGTCTCCATGGCAATATGTAACTGATTTTGAGAATTATTTTGTCCATTTTAAAGTGACCTTGTATGACTCACAAAGAAAATATTCATGAAGATGGAGATGATAGTTACTGGTAGTGGTGGTGCTGCTGGTGGTGGTTATATTGTCATCGGTAGCAGGGATGGTGGTAGTGCTGGTATTGTTATTGGTATCAGGGATGGTGATAGTGCTTGTAATGTTATTGGTTTACCTTGAGGTGATAATGATGGTAGTCATGGTTATGATACTGGTTGCTGGAATAGTGATAGTGGTTGATGATGCCTCACCTTGCATATAGTTGGTCTGAGAGCACATTCATCAACGTCCTCAGTGCAGTATGGACCAGTGAAGGTGGGTGGGCAGGCACACGTGTAGGTGTTCACCCTGTCCTCACAGGTGGCACCGTTCTGACACATGTGGTTGTGACAATCGTCAATGTTCATTTCACAGTTCCGTCCAGTAAATCCTGAAACAAAGAACGAAAGAAGGTTATAAAACACACAATACCAGTTACGGCACACCAGTTCTTGTAAAATACCTCTCTCAGACTTTTTTCGTTTCAGTTATAAAAGCAGAAGCTCATTACTAATTAATGTTAGAAATAATGAAGTAAACGCCTTCACTGTGGATCGTGAAGAATATCCGTGATCATGTGATAACAGGAACCTCATCCTTGTCATACAATGTGTGATATTTTTATAATGACACTACGTCAGACGTACTACACTGAATAAGTTACTACACGAAGATTTGCTACTGAAGTTAGTTAAACTGACAAAGATACGTGTAGGTTTACTGACACAAATGACAAAGATCTTCTACAAGCTACAACTGAGGTAAGCTTCTTACAAGTACAACACACCATAGGGTATCGAAGGTCTTCATAGACAACACAATGTGCACAAAGTCTTCATACAATGACAACACACTAGTGGTACAAAGGTCCTACAAGACCACACCTCACATGTGGTACAAAGGTCTTTCATTACAAGACCACACACACACTAGTGGTACAAAGGTCTTCATTACAAGACCACACACACACTAGTGGTACAAAGGTCTCATTACAAGACCACCACACAACTAGTGGTACAACAGGTCTTCATTACAAGACCACACACACACTAGTGGTACAAAGGTCTTCATTACAAGACCACACACACACAACTAGTGGTACAAAGGTCTTCATTACAAGACCACACACACACACTAGTGGTACAAAGGTCTTCATTACAAGACCACACACACACACTAGTGGTACAAAGGTCTTCATTACAAGACCACACACACACACACACACCACACACACTAGTGGTACAAAGGTCTTCATTACAAGACCACACACACACTAGTGGTACAAAGGTCTTCATTACAAGACCACACACACACTAGTGGTACAAAGGTCTTCATTACAAAGACCACACACAACACTAGTGGTACAAAGGTCTCATTACAAGACCACACACCACACTAGTGGTACAAAGGTCTTCATTACAAGACCACACACACACTAGTGGTACAAAGGTCTTCATTACAAGACCACACACACACTAGTGGTACAAAGGTCTTCATTACAAGACCACACACACACACTAGTGGTACAAAGGTCTTCATTACAAGACCACACACACACTAGTGGTACAAAGGTCTTCATTACAAGACCACACACACACACTAGTGGTACAAAGGTCTTCATTACAAGACCACACACACACACTAGTGGTACAAAGGTCTTCATTACAAGACCACACACACACACTAGTGGTACAAAGGTCTTCATTACAAGACCACACACACACACACACACACACTAGTGGTACAAAGGTCTTCATTACAAGACCACACACACACACTAGTGGTACAAAGGTCTCATTACAAGACCACACACACACACTAGTGGTACAAAGGTCTTCATTACAAGACCACACACACACACTAGTGGTACAAAGGTCTTCATTACAAGACCACACACACACACACTAGTGGTACAAAGGTCTTCATTACAAGACCACACACACACACTAGTGGTACAAAGGTCTTCATTACAAGACCACACACACACACACACTAGTGGTACAAAGGTCTTCATTACAAGACCACACACACACACACACTAGTGGTACAAAGGTCTTCATTACAAGACCACACACACACACTAGTGGTACAAAGGTCTTCATTACAAGACCACACACACACACTAGTGGTACAAAGGTCTTCATTACAAGACCACACACACACTAGTGGTACAAAGGTCTTCATTACAAACCACACACACACACACACACACACACACACACACACACTAGTGGTACAAAGGTCTTCATTACAAGACCACACACACACTAGTGGTACAAAGGTCTTCATTACAAGACCACACACACACACTAGTGGTACAAAGGTCTTCATTACAAGACCACACACACACTAGTGGTACAAAGGTCTTCATTACAAGACCACACACACACTAGTGGTACAAAGGTCTTCATTACAAGACCACACACACACACACTAGTGGTACAAAGGTCTTCATTACAAGACCACACACACACACTAGTGGTACAAAGGTCTTCATTACAAGACCACACACACACACACACACACACTAGTGGTACAAAGGTCTTCATTACAAGACCACACACACACTAGTGGTACAAAGGTCTTCATTACAAGACCACACACACACACACACACTAGTGGTACAAAGGTCTTCATTACAAGACCACACACACTAGTGGTACAAGTCTTCTAAAAGACACACACACATAGTGGTACAAAGGTCTTCATTACAAGACCACACACACACACACACTAGTGGTACAAAGGTCTTCATTACAAGACCACACACACACACTAGTGGTACAAAGGTCTTCATTACAAGACCACACACACACACTAGTGGTACAAAGGTCTTCATTACAAGACCACACACACACACTAGTGGTACAAAGGTCTTCATTACAAGACCACACACACACACACACACACACACACTAGTGGTACAAAGGTCTTCATTACAAGACCACACACACACTAGTGGTACAAAGGTCTTCATTACAAGACCACATACACACACTAGTGGTACAAAGGTCTTCATTACAAGACCACACATACACACTAGTGGTACAAAGGTCTTCATTACAAGACCACCCACACACTAGTGGTACAAAGGTCTTCATTACAAGACCACACACACACTAGTGGTACAAAGGTCTTCATTACAAGACCACACACACACTAGTGGTACAAAGGTCTTCATTACAAGACCACACACACACACACACTAGTGGTACAAAGGTCTTCATTACAAGACCACACACACACTAGTGGTACAAAGGTCTTCATTACAAGACCACACACACACTAGTGGTACAAAGGTCTTCATTACAAGACCACACACACACTAGTGGTACAAAGGTCTTCATTACAAGACCACACACACACACTAGTGGTACAAAGGTCTTCATTACAAGACCACACACACACACTAGTGGTACAAAGGTCTTCATTACAAGACCACACACACACACACACACTAGTGGTACACAGGTCTTCATTACAAGACCACACACACACACACACACACTAGTGGTACAAAGGTCTTCATTACAAGACCACACACACACACTAGTGGTACAAAGGTCTTCATTACAAGACCACACACACACACACACACACTAGTGGTACAAAGGTCTTCATTACAAGACCACACACACACTAGTGGTACAAAGGTCTTCATTACAAGACCACACACACACACACTAGTGGTACAAAGGTCTTCATTACAAGACCACACACACACACTAGTGGTACAAAGGTCTTCATTACAAGACCACACACACACACACACACACACACTAGTGGTACAAAGGTCTTCATTACAAGATCACACACACACACACACTAGTCGGCCTGACGACACTGGAGGACAGGAGGGATAGGGGAGACATGATAACGACATGCAAAATACTGCGTGGAATAGACAGGGTGGACAGAGACAAGATGTTCCAGAGAGGGGACACAGAAACAAAGGGTCACTCTTGGAAGTTGGAAAATCAGATGAGCCAAAGGGATGTTAGGAAGCATTTCTTCAGTCACAGAGTGGTCAGCAAGTGGAACAATCTGGCGAACGAAGTAGATGGAGGAACCATACATAGCTTTACGACGAGGTATGATGAAGCTCATGGAGCAGGGAGAGAGAGGACCTAGTAGCGTTCAGTGAAGAGGCGGGGCCAGGAGCTGAGTCTGGACCCCTGCAACTACAATTAGGTGATTACTAGTAGTACAAAGGTCTTCATTACAAGACCACACGCACACACACACTAGTGGTACAAAGGTCTTCATTACAAGACCACACACACTAGTGGTACAAAGGTCTTCATTACAAGACCACACACACACACTAGTGGTACCAAGGTCTTCATTACAAGACCACACACACTAGTGGTACAAAGGTCTTCATTACAAGACCACACACACACACACACTAGTGGTACAAAGGTCATTACAAAACCACACACACATACACACACACTAGTGGTACAAAGGTCTTCATTACAAAACCACACACACACACACACACACACACACAACACACACACACACTAGTGGCACAAAGGTCTTCATTACAAGACCACACACATAGTGGTACAAAGGTCTTCATTACAAGACCACACACACACACACACACTAGTGGTACAAAGGTCTTCATTACAAGACCACACACACACTAGTGGTACAAAGGTCTTCATTACAAGACCACACACACACATACTAGTGGCACAAAGGTTTTCATTACAAGACCATTATCACACACACTAGTGATACAAAGGTCTTCATTACAAGACCACGCACACACACTAGTGGTACAAAGGTCTTCATTACATGATCACACACACACACACACACACACACACACACACACACACACACACACACACACACACACACACACACACATATACACACACACACACACACACACACACACACACACACACACACACACACACACACACACACACACACACACACACACACACACACACGCACACACGCACGCACGCACGCACGCACTAGTGGTACAAAGGTCTTCATTACAAGACGACACACACACACACACTACTAGCTTGTGCTACTAGGTCGCATGCAGTGCTCCTCCCATAAGTGACGTGTCTGACCTCACTAGGTCAAGGCACTGGCTTAAGCCAATCCACAATCCAGGGCAACATGGGTTCAGGACAGGTCGCTTCTGCCTCTCACAACTACTGGTTCTCTATGATATGGCCTTGGATGCATTGGAAGAAAATCAGAATGCAGATGTAATAGACACAGACTTTGCAAAAGCGTTTGACAAGTGTCATCATGGCGTAATAGCGCACAAAATGCCTGCTAAAGGAATAACTGGCAAAGTGGGGAGATGGATCTTCAACTTCCTAACAAATCGAATGCAAAGAGCAGTGGTCAACA